CTTTTTTTTTATGTTTCTGATATTCAGAAGAGTCAAAATCAAATAACGGCACCGGGAGTTATTTTTTAAGATAGCTTTTTTCGGACGCCATTTTTAATATTATTAAATTTTTTTTTATTAAAAAGAAATATATTTTTGTACTTTTCATAAGTGTATAAATAAAATGTAAAAAGTTTAAATTGATTGCTCTTTTTTTAAACCTTAAAAATCGAGAAAACACCCTTAATTTGACGGTTGTAGACCACCGGGTCCCCGTAAAAAAAATTAAGCAAAGCGGATGAGTACTCCGAGCGCTCCGAACGTCGTGCGGTATTAATATTTTTTGGCCTTTTTCAAACTTTGAAAAAAATATTTGATATTCGGTCATTGTGATGCCATTTCCGGTAACTCCTTACAGAATCATGTAAATTGACAAAAAAAATATATATTTCAGTTAAAACCTTAAATTCGAACATGGACGAAGGAAAAAAAAGACTGAAAGTTGGATTTCTGGCAGACATTTTTGTAAAACAATAAAAAAAATTGGAAGTCGTAAACCCATGTCACTTAATAAGAACTAATTCGAGAACATATCGCTCTTAATTCTCAAATTAAAATTTTTAGAAAAATCTGTCAGAAAGTAAAAAAATGGTATTTAACGATTATTGTTAATGCATATGTTTATAGTTATATAAATACATGAACTTAAAATAACATATACTATAAAAACACTTAATGCTCACCTAATACACTTTTCCTCTGACCTTATTGAATATTCGCAACTTGTGATATTTAATTATTATTGAGCATGTCAGATATTGGACTGTTAAGTACAAATATGAATGTAAGCAATGCTGACGTTCATAAGTTAATTATGATAGATCCTTACGGGGCATCTCGACAGTCAAAAATTTATGTCATACTAACTGTCAAATCATTATTTGTTATCATAACATTATCATTTGCGCAAAGCCGTAGGGTAGGTACGTTACATACCTACATACATACTAATTAGTATTCTATATATTGCTTTCCATAAGCAATAGGGAGTGTCCACAGGCAATAGGCACCACAGTACAGTTAGTATAGCATAAATTGCATCCTGTCGAGATGCCCCGTTAAGTTGAGTGATAATCATAATTTGGCGGCTCTGGCAGCACAGCAGTATAAAAGGAAGCTTATTTCTTCAAGTAACTAATAGCGCTATAATTTCCAATAGTGGCAATATTTTTTTAACCGACAGGTGGCCATGTAACGTTGTTGCTATCATTAAGAGCTTTGTTTATGTTTTCTTTGTGGTTCCTTTTCCTTTATATTGGAACTTCATTGCTTTCCGTGTCTCCCTTCCGCTTTGCTTATTAATTTCTATAAAATTCCTTATTTGCAACTCAGCTGTAGGCTATAATGGACGAGCTTTTTTGAAAGATTAAATTGTTTGTTTAATTTTATTATTTTATATGTTATTGGAGCTTGTTTTTTTAGATTTGTGTGATATTTGAATGTTAGAGTTATATTGTGTTTAAAGTTATTGTAAATTTGCTTTAATTGTAAATATTTGAAAAAAATGGCTGATTTTGCCAGCGTACTGGGCGACCTTAGCTCGTTTTACCAACGCTTTCTTCTTAATCAGCAACTGAATGAGGAATGGGAGGAGTTAAATCAGGAAATTTGGGTGTGTATTTCATTATATTTTAAAAAACTTAGTTCGCTTCTCTCGAATTTTTATTAAAATTTCCGCAACGTGCACATATACATATTTACATATAGTAAGTATGGAAGGATTCAGGTATTTTTCTCATACATTACCTCGCCACGAATTTTAGGGTTATGCTGAAGTTTTAGCGGTAATTCGAGTTTGTCATTTGGGATTTATGTCATTGATGTTTTATTAACATATGTATGTGTGTACATGTATGTACATATGTTTGAGTTTAAATAATATTTTTATTTTATAGAATTTGGTACTATATTCACTCGGACTAGATGTTTTTAATACTATAACATCAGAAGAACATATAATCTAAAACATCTATGATTATATATGATATTATATATTATCGACAAATTGACATTTCCACTTATTAGCCAAGACGTTTATGCAAAGCTTAAACGTAACAATATTGAACCCAATTCATTAGATATACATACTTAACAATACGAAAATCGTATAAACGCTCGGGTCTCAGTTCATATTTCGCAGTTTATTTACAAAAAAATTCTGAAAGCAGGAATAATTCTTTAATTTAAGGTCGAACTTGAGAAAAATGGTCGAAACCGATTACTTATTACTTAAGTATACAATTAAGATTCAAGAGCCAAATTTTTGGATTTTATATCATCGAACTTGAGAAAAATGGTCGAAACCGATTACTTATTACTTAAGTATACAATTAAGATTCAAGAGCCATATTTTTGGATTTTATATCATATTTGGTCACTAATCCACAACAAGAATTATAATCAAATAGTTTACCATAGAGGCAGAGAAAGACCAAATTTGATTAAGGTTGAGTTTAGTATACAAATTTTTTTCACAAAATACGTAGCAGTATAAATTTAAAATTTTGTAAAGTAACTTTTTATAACCAGTACCAGTCCTCTAGCATCAATTTGTAAATATGAATGCTCGTATATGCGCAATAACCTGCTGCTAAAGAGAGCTCACTGAACTGTTATGGTTGAAATTTTATTTATTTTAAAGAAATTTAAAATACAAAAATTTTTAACTAGTGCAATTAAATACACTATATGCATTATTGTCGTTATTAAAATACTGGAACATATTTTAAATTAATTCTCAATAAACTTGGAAGCCCTGCTTTCATGCTTCTCAATCCAATTGGATTAATTACTGTTTGTTTCCATTGCTTGAAATGTTCTCTGGTGTATTCAGAGAATGTAAAAACATGTTTTCAGTTTCTCTGGTGTATTCTCATTTATTTGTGGTGTTCAATTGGCTTTGTTTGCTGCGGAAGCGAGAAAGCTGGTGCACACAATTCCTAAAACAAACCGAAAGTGAAATTAAAATAAAGTCAAAGCAGATTCAGAGAACATAAAGCCATATGAGAGAGAACGTGATAGGAAATGAAGAAAACGATGCCCGCAGTTTTAAAGAGAAGAGAGCAACAACGAATATTCGTAGAGTGACGGAAATGAATAAAGCGTACAGGGCGAACTGGGCAGCTGGTTCTCTGGTAGAAGTTAGTTGGTTAGTTGTATTTTTGTCGCAGTGCTGCAACATTTAAAATATATTATATATTACTGCTTCCTATCTATCGAATTGTTCGCATGTATGTTGCCGCGCCGTCACATATTCGCAGTCAGTGTATTTTTGAATGGTGCATATTTTATATCCTCTGCAATATAAGTGTTGGCTCTGGTCATAAGTGATGCAGTTCTTCTAGTGATCGTTAATTTTGGTTCGGTTTATTAAAATTGGAATATTTACCTGCGTAAAAAGTAATAAGCATTTTCCCAACAACAAATATAAAGTGTTTAATATTAAAATGATGAATATATCGGGAGGAAAGCAATTTAATTTATGATAAAATAAATAAATATTTAAATACATGAGACACTAATAAAAATTCTTAGGGAATGAAACCAAATCGAAGCTTTTCGTAGACGCAATTATTGCGTAAATCAAAATTGAATAGAAATAGTATACATATGTATGTACACCGAAAGATGTTTTAATAAGAGAAAAACGTGTTATATACTCAGACTTACATTTAAACAGCAATAAACCGGAAGAGAAAAGATATTACGTTACCACCACTAAGGTATTAGTCAGAAAAAGCCTAAAAATAAATACTGCATACTTTACATTAACCTTTTTAGAGTCCCAGATACGTCTGATAGTTGCTACATACATATGTATATTATTTTCTGTCAGTCTCGTTTACTTGTATGTATGGATACACATATGCGCATTTTTAATGCCTCAGTTCGCTACATTTTAGTGCTTTGCTAAATATGTATGCTTTGCTAATATATGTATATGTCATTTTGATACCATATTATACATACAAATGTATATCATAGGACTCCTTTTAGGCATACTTTTTCTGCTAGACGTCTGTTTTCATCCACCAAATATTTCACTTTCCTTGTAGCATCATTTATCTCGTCTCACTTCCTACAAATTCACGCACAGTGTTTTGCTTTGTTACGTACAATATTTATCGGTGTTCTATGATTTCTCAGATATTTTATCCTGCTTTTCTATATGCTTTCATCCCAAATGTTCGTATGTAGTATTACTTAGTGATGCTGCCACTGTTGCGTTTTGTCGATTCGATTTTTCCCACCAGCATAGCAAATGAATTGCTAGCCGGTCACATATTCAAAGCACCCCAAAAAGAGACAACAACCCTCAATGATGAGAGACTCTATGCATGTTTTGTATGCAATAAACTAAATTTAGCAAAAATATGTACGATGCACAGTACTGACAATTTGGTAGTCATTGCCGCAACGTTCAAGGCATCGATTGCTAGATAGATTTTCTCAAGACCGGATCGTCGTTTTGATTTTATACCAATTCAGAGATGCTAGAAAATAGTATATCTATATTGTAGAGAGAAGGTAAAAAAAGTTGGCAATTTTGTGTATCTTTTATATTCATATGAAAGTATTTTCATGCCTTCTATCAGAATAAAGTAAAGTTTGTCCATTGGCTAGTTAACATAATATAATATATTTTCTGCGCTGTTCTTAGTTCGTGATTTATTGATAGTTGTAAGAATCGAAAATTAAGCTGATTGGCTTATCAAAATACAGTTTTGTATGTTTATAAATAGACTCTAATCAGCCAAAAAATGCTTTCTCGCATCTTGACGGTTATTAAACAATGATTTGAATAGAAATAATCAGAAACTTTTTAGTCTTCATTGACACTAATATTATCAGTATAATATTCACATTTAATTATCAAATGTTAATACAAGTTTTTAAGAAGTGTACCTATGTACTTAGAGCAAAAGGATGTTCACTGACCGTTTCCTGAAAAAAATCTTAAGTTAGATATTAAAATGATTCTAAAAATTTTGTGCATATACCCGTTTTAGTAATTTTTAATTTTTTTTGTCCAATGCTCGTTAATTTTGTAAAGTAATGAATAATTGAATAAATTGTGCTTCAATTGCGAAAACTAGCATAAAAGCTGTAGTAATATGCTTAAGTGAAAAGTTTGTAATAATTCAATTGCAGATGTGCCAAAAGTACTCTTTTAATTAAATAAAGCTTGTAATAGTAAAACTAAATCACTCCAATACAACTTTTGAAACAAGAAATAAGTTAAAAATATAGTTTCTCGCAAACACATTCTTATTAATATTGCTGTTATTGTACTGGCAATTTCGTGGTGAAAAAATTGACGATTAATTCAACTATAAAGTGTTGAATTAAAAGCAGTTAAAAGGAATACGCTACACGCACCACTGCAACTATAAAAAACGTCAAACTGTGGGGTTCAGGAGCATTTTTTCTTCCTCCTCAAGGAATGTATTATCCGGTAAGTTCAAAATTATATTCGAAGGTACTCCTTTTTTGCGTAACTGTTAGAAAAATTAACTAATTAAAGAACCCTTTATACCTACTATTACTTCACTAATTACTTTCTCTACATTTATTTCAAATTAAATAGTGCAAAAATAACGTTAAATTATTATTTTATTTATTCGCCCCGTAATCGGGTTGTAAGCAAAAAAAAAAAATCTTTATATAATTTTAAGTACATATCACGTAATATACTCTACGGGGTCTTATTCAAGAAAAAACGCAGTATTCTCAGTATACTCGCAAAGTGTTATTGTGATTTTTACCCACTAGAGTATGCAGCATGAAAAGTTCCAATGTGAATGCAAGACCAATGATTAAAAAACCGTACATGTTACAAAGCGGCCAGATTGAAACTTGCGAAAGACCAAAAAAACTGGACAAGCGTGTAGCTCAAACTAGTTTTTAGTTTTGACGGAACGAAAATTATTCGTATTAATTCAGATACATATAGGAATTTGGACATTTTAGGACATGTGATGCGATCCCAAAAATAGGAATAAGCTAGTTCGCTTATGGTGTGAGGCTCTTTCTTTGGCGAAAAAGTGAAGAAATTGTGTCGAATCAAGGGAATAATAAATTCTAAGGACTATATTCGTTTATTCTTAGTTTAAAGATTTTTGGATGCGATTGGTGATTTGTTATACATGCAAGACAATCAATCCAAATATACCGCCCGAATTTCAAAATCTTGTTTGGAAAATAGCGGAATTCGGTTGAGGGAATAGCTTAGCGCAGTCACCCGATATTAGCTGCATGCAGAAACACCAAAAATGATAAATGAACTATGAACTAAAGTTGAACGAGTTTTGAATTTGGAGCACGATGTTCTAAATCCCAGTTTTTAATATACTAGGTCAAACGTTCACATACATACTTACGCTCATAATTAGGAATAGAGCTAAATTTACAATGTATCGAAATAAATGAATGAGGACAATCAAACACTTGCTTATTTATGGTATTTCAAAACTTATCAATTTTACTAACCCTCCGCGTGTAGGCTGCACTGCTGATATATAGAACTATTGAGTATATGCATAAATTTCTCCATTATAGTTAGCTTTTATTTAAAAAAAAACCCTGAACCTAACTAAATATTTTCATTCTCTTCGAGTTTTATATGATCTAGGGACTAACTGAGTAAACACAAATGTTTAAAATTTGCTTACATAACATATAATAATAATTTGGATATAAGCAAAATACAATTTTAAGTTGTTTTTTGGAGTTCAGTCACATTTTTAATAATTGTATATCACTTTTGTTTCTAAAACAAAAAAATTAAATTTGTCGTTGTTTGCGAATATTTATTATATTGGTTAAGTAAATTTTGTTATTAAATGCAATTACCCTACTATTTTCACTCTTAATTTATTTGATTGAGTACTACAAATCCTCAACATTCAACGTTGTTGACAACCGTATTCTCTTCTGCTGTCCTGTAATTACTTTTAGGTTTTTATATTCCAATTATTTACATGGCGCTTTCTATTCTTGCCGTTGATCACAGTTTGCGTTCTTCCCTATATTCGTTGTATACATAAGCAGAATCATGTGGCAGTATGCAACTTCCTTTGTCTACCAAATATGTGTAAATAAAACGTAATTCTCTTGATAAAACGAAAATTTATTTCAATTACGGTTCATTTAAAATGACGAGCCAATAGCAATGAGTAGCGGGGTGATCAGCATCGGGTGGCAAGTAATGTGAGGAACATAATGCTCGCGACAGACTGCAGCAGCACGACAGTGAACTGAAAATGGTGTTGTGAATCCTACTACATGAACGTTTGTGAGAGGGCAGCAACATAACAATGGCCGGCRTGTACACAAAACAACGCAGTTGTCMATTTTGCATRKACACAATTTCGTTGTGGCCATACTAATACCTTGCACTTCAATGAAATTTTAATATTTTGTTCAAAGTGAAATTTTTAAGCAAAAAATAAGTAAATAGGTAAATTTATTTGTTTTATATTATCAATTGTTATTACAAATGATGTAACAGAGCTATTTTATGCTTTTATTTGTGAAATAACGTCAAGTTTGTTAGAGCTGTGAATAATTTTACATTTTACATATTAGTGGTATCATCACCCTACCTCATCTCTCTATCTTCCATTCTACTGTCGTCCTACTGTCGTTGGCAAATATAGGATCAAATTGAAGTTAGCGAGAACGACAACTGTCGGCCTGCCGTCGTGTAGTCGTGCAGCTATGAAAATAGGTCCGTCCATATGAACGTGTGTATTTTAATATTTGACAGATGTCGTTTGCAGTCTGTCGCGAGCATTGTATTCCACACATAATGTGCGCAACACATGTGTACAAGGATCAGTAGGGAATGTTGGCGGTTGAAGAAAATGACGATATATAAATTGTGGGCAATGTAGAGACGAAAATATTAAGTAAGCGTTCATCTGCCCTAATTAGTATTTAAAGTAAATAAGGTATTAAATAAGGTACACTTTTAATAACAATTGAAAACCATATAGAGACTGCAAGTGGCTGCACTTAAGCCCATTGGCCCATTGTCCTCCCAAGTGAGACTCAACTAAATCCCATTTAACTACTTGCATATTTAATGAAAAACAAATTGTTTACAAATTGTTTTGGAAGTCATGGGAGATATTCCGTCTAAACCAGCTGAAGGCTGAGCTATCGCATATCAATGTATGTTGAATTTCCTAAAAATTTAAATAATGTTTAGGTTCTGATATAATATAGAACACAACCTGCCCACAGTAATAGTGTAGTATTGGAAAATATTCCAACATAAATACTATATACAGTCTGTTCGCTTCCTTCCCCACCGAAATGTTTTCTGAAAAACTTGGTTTATTCAGACAGTGATTTCATCTTAAGTATATACATATGTATATTCATAATGCATATGTTAAAACCATTATCAGCACTTTCATATTGCTTTATTTTTGTTGTTCAGTGCTAATGACAGCCATTCGTTGTAAATGTCGTCAGTTGCGCAAACTCTGGCGTAGAGGCTTTATAATTAGATACAAATCCGCTGCTTAAACATCTATCGGAATACTCCCTCCATCATGCTGTTTTTTTATATTGATTTTATGCCTAACGCATGCGCAAAACTTTCAATTATAAAGTTATGGCGAGGAATATAAATACGAATAAGAGTACCCATTTCTGCAACGTTTGCATGTATATAAAAGAATAGTTAGATGCTAAATGTTGTCAGATATTCACTCAATTATCGGATTTTACCGCGCAACTTATTTTCAATGAAAACAAGTGATGATATCACGTTTCATTAGTACAATGCCTGAGCAATAGTCTAAATCATTGACATATGTATGTAGTTATGCATACATGCATACATTTGTATGTATTTATTTCCAACAGAGTATGCGCATATGTTTTCCACATGTCGCATAGTTTGCTTGTCAGCAAATGCAACTGAGTATGCGCAAATGTTCCAAAAAATCCATAAAAAGATTGTTGATGACCATAAAGAGCAGTTGATAGAGGAACATGTTCGACGTTCTTTCATGAATCGATGGATTGAAAAAATGAAATGCTCCTGTCAGAAATCACTGAAAACGATGGCAAAATTGTAGGAATAAAACCAATAATTGTTTTTGCTTTTACCATGTTCTAATGATATAGCCCGCACTTCTGTCGAGGAAAATGAAAATATGAAATGTAAGGCAAAAACCATTTTTACAACATGAAAGTATTAGCTTAATCACATTTCATGGTTTCTTGACGATATAAAGTCTTTCTCTGGGAAAAAACATTACGCTGCCGAATTGTTTTTTAACTCAACTTTCTATTACGCGTAGCTGTGGAACATAATTTATGTAGATATTGAACGTTGATTTTATATGTCGCACGAACGTTCCAAACGCCTAATTTTATGTTTCGCCTTCATGGAACATCGTGAGAACTCTTCAGCAATACATCAGCGAGTTATCGAATTATACCAACCAACTTTCATACGCGACTAGCTTCAGTTAACTTCAGAACACCTTTTTTTTTATAGAGATATTAACGCCGTCATTGGCTCTTTCTCAGTGAGTGGGCTGCTCAGAGTTCAAATACCACTCATGTAAAAGAGCTCGAGCAGACTCGATATACTTAAAATATTATTTAAATTATTTTTTATATTCCATTCATACCTCTTCTGGTTGTCTAGTGTTATTTCATTTGCCAGTTGATTACCGAGCTACAAATCACAACAATAACTTGAACATCTACGAATACATCGACTAAGTCCCATAAACTCATACAGAATTTTAATAGTAAATAATTTTTTAGTTAATTTGCATTAGATTTTATTTCCTTTAAATAAATAAAACCCGATTGGAATTGTTTTTAGTTTTGTTCATTGTTTTCGTTTTTTGGAGAATGGACGTACATATATACATACGCGAGGAACAACGTAACGTGAAGCATTCTTTAGTTGCTTATACTTCTATGTGTTCAAGCTTTAAGTTTCTTTAGTCAAAATTTAATAATAACAGTTACAGGTTTACATACATCTGTGTTCATGAAAACTGTAGTGCTGGTATATTTTAACTATAGAAACAAAATCAAGTCAAAAGCATGAACTACAAATTCAATAACCTTACAATTTGTTCTAGCTACTTCTTTGTAAGTATATACACAGTTTTATATGTACATATGTATGTATTTGTATTTTTATCAACAAGATATGTATATGAAACAAAATGCAACTTGCAAGAATCAAAGCTAGGGAAATACTTTAAGATGTAAAACTTCAATCAGCGGATCGGAATGCAAGCATCTTTTTATATATATACGATGTATACTATATATAACTCATACACCAACAAACACATAAAGTTTGTTAGAAAAACGAAAATCATTGTTCGTAGCATATGGGAGTTGGAGTAGTGTCGACCAGATTTTATCTATTTTTCCCAAATGTTCGAAAATCCTGATATTAGTTAGAGTTTT